AAAATAAAAATCACTCACTTCAACCCATAAGACCACTACTAAACAAAGAAACTTTCCAATGCATGTACTGTTTGTTATTTCCTTGCTTTGGAAAGGCCTAGAGTTTTCCTGAAGCACCCTCTTTTGGTCACAGATTGGAAACAGGTTATTGGGATATTTGGAATTGTAATCTGCCTGAATAAATTAGAGTTTACTATCCTGTAGAGTTTCAATCAGCTCAGATATCCTACTCATTCAGGTACTGTAAATTGCAGGCATTGCAACTCGTAGATTCTAAGAAAAAGGAGGTATGGGTTATGAATTTACAGTACAAGGAGCTCATTGAAACAAGCCATGTAATGTGGAAAATAGTACTTTTAGCAACAGTAAAATAGTGTAAATTTAAAAAACAAATATATATATAAAATAAAATCTTATTTTCAGGACATTGGCTCTTTGCTATTGTTTTCCTGGAGTTTACATGGAAATTAAACGATTGGCTTTCTCTAGAACAACTCTGATGAGAGTCATATATCAAATTCTTGAGACATAGATTATATGATCTGGTAATCTAAAACATATTTCCATTATGTATCCTAATAAAAAGTGGTTGCTAGTCTATTAGAGTAGATTTTATGTGCTGCTATTCCTTGGTTTTTAAATAATGTTAGTGTCTACCATCCTGGGGATTTTAAAATAATTTAAAACATATTTTTCCAGCAAACCAAATGTTAGATCAGTCATGCTAGAATAAGGGGAGGAGGGTCTGCTATGAATCCCTGAGGTGTATCACTTTAAAATAGTATGTTCTAGGCCAAATAAAACAATAGGAAATAGGAGAGTTAACTGCTGCAGCTATTTATTCTACAGCAACTTTAGTTCAAGCCATGCTGATAGTTTTTCTAATGCCTTAAATCAAACAGCAGGTATCTGTGGCCTCAAGGTAAGAAATGCTAAACATCTGCCAGTTTCCAGACTTGAAATATTGCAGCTGCCTTACCTGAAGGAAATTTTGCTGTTAGTGTACCAGGAATCTCAGTGCAACTGTCATGTGGCATTTTCACTAAGGAGTAGATGATTGTCACTTCACAAAACATTGAACAACTCCCTTTCCCAAAGATCCAGTTTTAAGTAATTTGCAAAATATTTTGGTTATCATATTTTTCAGTTCCTAATACCGGCCACAAAAATACAGCCACAAGCTATTCAGTTTCAGTTCTTTAACAGCCTCAAGATTTCCCTTGACAGCTGGCACTGACATGAGAAGTCGCTTCAGTGTCTATTTCAGTCCATCTGTCCAGGCTGTTCTGGCTTTTTTTTTGCTGACATGTGCTTTGGCATATGAGAAAGACATACAGATGTAAATATAATGGAATAAACTGAATAATCCTTCAGAAAAGGTATTTCATTTCTGAATGTTGATTAACATTCTGCTCTGGTACTTAGGAGCACAAGCTATTTAAGACTTCTGTCTTCCCTTCACCATTAGGTACTCCCTATGCCAACAGAACAAAGGTTTTGATTGGCACTGGCCAACTGAAAGAGCTGGTACAAGGCAAGTTTTATTGATGATTGTCACATTTCCATAATTTACTGTTCCTCCTACAATTCTCTACTATATTTGCCCAATTTGCAAATTTTGCTTTGAAAGTTAAAGTCTTGCTGGATTTTACATCTCCATTCATGTCCAAGAGCAATATCAATTTGGCAGGCTGCAATGCATACTGCCATGAAAACCTTGGAAGCCACTCTGCTGTGATCTGTCAAGATACACTTGAATTTAAGAATACGAATACTTATGTTGAAGTCAATAGAATTACCGTGGGTAACATATGTGGTGCTTGTGCCTATTCCTCCTATAAGGCAAAATAATCTTCAAAATCTGCTCTGCACATTCTCCTGGGCGGCAGAAGTAGCTGTGAAGATGTAAGGAGCACATTCTATCATTACAGTGGAAATTAATAAACCTTCATAATGTGTGAACAGCAACAAGAATACCAACCTTTGAAGACATTGCTTTTGTCCAGGAGAAGCAAAATGTGTCATAAAAAAATGAATATCTTTTGTATATGTGTTCTTAAACCAAGTAAAGAGTTCACCTTACTTTCTCAAAAGGTCCTGTAAATTTGAATATTTAGTTCTACCTAACTGCTTTTTTCTTAGGAAATAGAAAGAGGAAAGAAGCATCAGAACCTCCCTTGTACTTAAGCATAATAGTTGTACTTTTGGGTACCTTAAATATTGCATACTACAGTAGCATGTTTCTATCATTATTTTCACCTGTTAAAAAACAAAAACCAACCAAACAAACAAAAAAACCCCAAAATAAAACCACAACAGAATATGAAAAGCAAAGGCATTTAAAATTATCTAAAAGGATAGCAGACTGGAAGGGTTAAAGGAGAATCTCAGGCTGGGAACACTTCTTTTCAAAGACTGTTTCCCTGAGAAGAAGCTGTGGTAAGGGCTGTCTAGATCAAGAAGTAACAGAAATGCCTTTTGGAAAGTGTTTTGGATGAGGGAGTACAGTTACCTCATCACTGTGTTTTCAGAGACAAAAAATAGCTGAGAAGCTATTTTGAATATAAGCTGTTGTATCTCTCCCCTGAGTTGGGTATTAGGAAGCATAACAAAGCTTCTGAGCCCTTTTCTCTTAATTTAAAGCCGTTGCAGAACACTGCAGAGAGGCTTTAGCTCTGGAGAGCTGGAATCAAACGCACTCTAATGAAGGTTCACTCCTGGGCGTTGTTCGAGCCCATTCCTTGGACTGCACTGACCCCTAGTGAATGCAGAGACAGCTACATAATTCACAGACTTTTTTTTTTTTTTTTTTTTTTTTTAAATCAATATATATATTTACATAAAGTATTGTTATACAAGGGAGCTTTTATCAGCAAATATCTTCATTAGGAAGAAATCGTCAAAATCCTTCTGTTTTAAAGCTATGGCTACAATTCCCAGGGAAGTTTCATTTCGTTTTTATTTACACCCACCTTTTTTCTCATCTGGATGTTGACTTGAGATGGACTTTGCAACCTTAATTAACGAACACCTTATTTAAAATACGAGTGCTGCTGAGATGCAGAGAGTTAGTGGTTTTAATTTAGCCATCTAAATCCATTCAGGAATGCGGGATCTCAGGCTGGAAGATTTGCAATCTTTTAATGAAATACAGGTGGTACCACTGCTAATCTGTTTGCTATCTAACATGATTTACCTACACTAGATGCTTGATGCCCTTTTAGAAGTACTATCTGAAAAAATACTAGCATATTTTAATGCATATAAGGTGAAAGCAACAAATAATTTATTTCCCCTGGGCCTTTCAATTCAGCAACAGATTATGTACAAGCATATAAAATATCAGGACAAGTTCCATTCTCCTTCAGTAGCTCTCTGCCTCTGGTCTTTGTCTCATTATTGCCGGACTTATTTTCAAGTACTATTATTTTAAAACAGAGCGGGGATCTGCTGTGCAGTGAGTAGGTGAAAACACAGAAATGCAGCCTTTAGGGCCTCACTGCATGAAATGTTGAATGTCCTCAGTTTCCTTTGATGCCTCTTTGGGGCCCTAATCACAGCGACGAGGCAGAAGGGGATGAAGTAATGGAATAGGTGATGCATCTGTGATCTGGAAAACATGAATATACTTCTATTATTTTTGTGGATCTTGGTGCTTTGGAAGCTGTGAAAGGGAAATCTTTGATAAGGATTTGATCACACAAAGCACTGGTCCCTTTCTGTTCCTCTGATCTCAGTTGAGAGTAGTTAACAGGAACTGTTAATATCTCATTGAGCCACCTATTTATTGTGGCTCTTTGTCTTTCTGTGGAGCTGGGCCCGACACTTAGCCTGATCCTCTGCTGGGAATATGGGTAGGTTAAGATGATAGAAAACAACTTTCTTTTGGCTTTGGCTTGTTGGGTCGGCTTTTCAGGGTGGGAAGGTGGGTTAAATTGCACCAGGAGGTGCGAGTTCTTTATGATGCCAGTTGGAAAGGCACTCAGAATCTATAAAGCACATCTTAAGATGCTGGTTTTTTGAGATCACACTAAAAAGAAAAGGAGGATAGCATAGATAATCATATGAGCCTTCAGATGCTGGGAACCCCAAATTGTGCAGCATCAAATGGGCTTCCAACTACGGCCCAGCACCCTTCAGATCCCATCCATGGAAAAGTTACCCCATTTTGGTCATTTTGGCCCTTACAGGGTTTTCCCAAAGAAGCCAAGATCTATTAATCATTTCTACTGTCAAACAAAAAGGTTGTTCCCATGAGACCTTCTCGCTGCATTGTTCGATAAAGGCAAAGGCCAGGCAGGAGGTGTAATGACCAAGCAGGAGCTGCCTGCAGGTTCCTCTGCCCCTAGGAGCTGGCTGAGTTTGTCCTGCGCACAAGAGATCTGGACAGCGCAATGCAGCAGGCTGTACATGCAGCACAGCACAGCCTGCACCTATACATCCACATAGTAACAATACTGAACAATTGCAAAAATTAAATATTAAAATCCTCTTTAACAGAATGCAAAAATCAAACCAGAGTAACAACATGTATCCCTGTTCAATTTATGGTCTTGTCAAATGTAATACTCCAAATTATAGAGACACTGAACAATTAGTAAATGTAAAATTTCCATTTCTTTTACTTGGAAAAATGAGATTAAAAGCATTTTTCAAGATGTGAAAAAATAACTGGACACAATTGATCTGCGGAATCAAACCTTACAACTCGTTAGAGAGTTATAAAGCAGGTATGTTTTATTCGCCGGCGGGCAACAGGGTGGATCGCTCCATAAAGGCCCTGCGCACCCACTCTTTTACAAAGGCATTATTTAAAGTACACACACATACATATTCATTAAATTTAGGATGGGTTAAGCTAATTAGTTCCAAGAAATTTTAACACAAGTTCACTCCCATTGGTGCTTGCGTACTGCCTCCTTTTGGTGTTTGTTAGCACCCTTGTAGACCGTGAGACAAAACAAGGTTGGCTTTTACTTCAGACTGCAGGTGTTGCATACCAGTTCCTTCTTCTCTTGCTCCAGACTGCTCGCATACCAGGCACCGCAAGGCCTTTGCTGATAGTGTGGAACAGCTTGTTAGTTATTGTAAAAGTTTCCCCCTTAACACAGACAAAACGATCTAAACTTAAAGTTTCCCACCTAACACAGAGACAAAATGAAGCTAAGCTTATTTTCTAAAATCTAATTCTTAATACAGAAAATAAATTGACAAATCCAACTATACTTTATATGTTCGCATATCACAATATCCCTCTGAATGAGGATTTTAAATTGTATCAAGAAGACAACAGATAAAGTGGTGCCACAAGGCATCATGTGCTACAATTTGAAACTCCAATGTCTAATTAGAGGGAGGGGAAAACATTTTCAACACACTTAGTCCTTGGTTTAAAAAAGATGTTTCTTGTCTGCTTTGTACATTTTGTAACTCTCAGTTATGCCACAGAGTCTAGATTTTTTTGTACTTCTCTGATTTAAGGAAAGTGATGCCCAACTGCATACATGTTTATAATCACTACAGCATTTTTTAAACTTTAAATTATTAAAAATTATATTTCTAAATAGAATGAAAATTACACCATTACCACCCAAGGTTTGTGCAAGATATTCTCAATAAAGTAGGACAGAGAAATATATTGCTATATTTCTCATAGAACGATAGAATCATTTCAGCTAGAAGGCACCCTGGAAGCTTGTCTGATCCATCCTCATGTTCTAAAGTCATAATGAAGAAGAGGCTGCAAAGAAGCAAAACGCTTTTATATTCACAGTTACAGGTGCCACCAAGATAATTATTGAATCCCAGTGCTATGAAAGAAGCCTGAAAGACTCTTCTTCCAAAACTGATTATGTTCTAAGAATGACCAAAGGTCAGGTAAATGCAAAAATGGAAAAATGCCTGAGGCAAAGATATAAAGTCACATTTATGTAACAATTTAGTGTGAGATTCACTTAGTATCCTTCTTACCAGTCTTCCTCTCAGTCTTTACCCAATCTTTTATACTTTAGTTTAAAATGTGTGTGAAAGCATATTCTAGTTAATTCCGAGAGTTTTGTTGTGAAGTTCATTTAGTTCATAACTAAGTTCTGCAACCCTGCTTGTAAGTGTCTGGACAACACGGGGTTAAAGGTCTCAAGCCTTGGTTAAATGTCTCAAACATTCATTTGATGTGTTACCATAGTGATAAGAAGTCAAAGAACTTGTGGACAGATAAGGGGATCTTGCAGAGGCAAGGCAGCATTTTTCTGAGCCCACTCGCTCAGAATTGTAACCTGAACCAGTGAGTATGGGTAGGGGAAAAGTGACTTGTCTCCAAACTGTGCCCATGCCTAGATGTCAAACAGCGGTAACTCCAGCAGGGGGAGACGAAGACTACCTGAAGAGCCTACTAGCCCACTGTCCCATTTCCAAAACATTCACGGGAACGGCGGATGTAAAAGAAGGCAAGAAGAAGAAAGAAGAAGAAATGAAGAAAAAGGAGAAGAAAAATAAAATGAAAAAGAAGAAAAAAGAAGAAAATGAAAAAGAAGAAGAAAAAGAAGAGGAAAAAAATGAAAAGAAGAAAAAGAAGAGAAAGAAAATGAAAAAAGAAAAAGAAGAAAAAGAAAATGAAAAAGAAGAAGAAAGAAAAAGAAAAAGAAAGAAGAAGAAGAAAGAAGAAGAAGAAGAGGAAGAAGAAGAAAAAGAATAAAAAGAAAAAAATGAAAAAGCTAAGAGCACTGGACGAGCACTCCTAAAGACCAGAGAACTCCCTCTGCTGGCTAGACCAACACTGGAACCTGGACCAGTGATCTATGTCATACTCTCTTTTTCTCTTTCTCTCTCACTCTTTTACTTTCTTCCAGTAAGTAATGCAAGGCCTACATCTCATACACATGGCAAATATTAAGCATTTCTGCTACCTAACTACTTATTGACAAGCCTAGTTATGAAATAAAAGTGTCTGTTTATCCGAGGACCTCGTGTGTTATGCATCAAAAAATGATGTGTGTTATGAATCAAAAAATCTGAGTCACGTTTCCCTCTCTCCTGCTATGGGAAAACTTTATGGGCAGGAGGTTGAGACTTCCATCTTTTCTGCTACAGAAAAACTTTACAGGCAGGAATCCAGGACATGGCACTGTTAAAATGGCAAACTGTCAAGATCAAACTCAGACTGAGACCAAAAATATCTGGCAAACAGCTAAACCATCTAAGAACTTATCTTTCACACCAAAACAGCTATTTTCTAGAATGCATTACTATTGCTGTTTACATTGAAAGTTCTCTGAAACTGCTAAGTAAAACTAAAAGTATTTATTCATATTAGGAATTATGCATTAAAACATCTTTCAAATAAAATAGAGGAAGACTCTGCTTAGGGATTTTTTTCTCTCTTTGGACAACTTGTGGTGTACAGACACAGTCTGTAAAAATCATTGCAACTGTCAAACTTCCATAGTAGATTAAACTTAGTGAATATTTGACCATACAGACCAAACTTTTAAAATTTTTAATCAGTTTTGAAATGTTACAGTGTTCTTCCTGCATATTATTTTTGGAATTTGCAGTTTTATCATCTTTCTTTTTTTCCAGTTGATAATTTCCTTATTTCAATTTAGCTTTTCTGGCAAATTGACACACTGGCTTCATTTCTTTCTCCTCTCTATGTATTGTTCTCCTTTTATAGTCACTTCCACATCGTCCTGGCTCTGTTGTCAAAATAGATATGCAGAACATTTTGTGCATCATTTATTACAGTAACACTATAGGGTCTTTCAGAAATATTTGAAGAATGAAATTTTCAACATGAGACATGAGATAGAGGTTTTAATCTCTGCTTTCAAGACATCTGCAAAATGTATTAATGGTCTTTGGGTTTCTTCTGAATGTTTTGTAGCCTGAGCCCTTTTATTAATTTGGACCTCTGCTGATCATGTTCAGCTATTGCAGATGCTTCATAAGCAATCCGAGAGAGAAATAGACCACACTCTCTACAGTCTCCACTGTGCTCTGTCCAGTGCTACAAGTCAAAACCCACTTGCAGCTCCTCACTTTAAAGACAGGTACATATTTTGCTTTCATATCAGTTATACTGTGAAAAATTAGAAATCGCGGCTTAGTTTTACAGGCCAAATTACATGTCAGCAAACAAAAGAAACTATTAACTGCTCTTTCAGAATACTCAGCTTTGCTTAGAATCCTGCAATTTTTGTCTTTTTAAGAGCTATTTTACATTTTCTAGGTGGGGAGAGACATGTCACTTTTACTAAAAAAGACTGAATTGTAAAAATTTCTGTTAAAAAGTTACCTGAACGGTTGTTTTAAACTTAGGGAACATTTTTGCATGTGGATTCCTTTTCTTCCAAGCTGGTGCATTATAAGATACGTCTGTATGTTTGTCTGTAGAAAAAACATATACATTATTTCTTAATTTCAGCTACAATTTCAGGAAAGACTTTCTTAGCCTGGCATGTGAATTAAATCTTGCATTAGCTGAAGTATCATTGAATGCATGAGGTGAATCATACATCACCTCTGAAATACAAGCTAGTATTAAATACAAGCTTCCTTTCTAGTACTGTGAAGATCATTTGTAATCTTGCAGAGTTTATGTCAGGCTCACAGGATCTTCCAAATGAGGCGGTTCTGCCAGGGACATCCTTGACTTGAACAAATTTAATGTTCCTGTGTTGAAAATCTTCCCAAAGGCACCAACTGCTTTTAGATTAAACAAATCCATAATCCAATCTCCTGGTTTATCCCTGCTTGTGAAAGCACTAGATGCAAGGCAATATTATGTTTTTGTGCTAGGCAACTGATTTTGCATCCAAGTGCTTGTGAAAGCACTAGATGCAAGGCAATATGTTTTTGTGCTAGGCAACTGATTATGCTGTCTAATGACTAACTCTTTTCTGTAAAATGTGGTTTGTATTATTAATAGTCTGTCTTTCTGTTAATTCCAGCTTAATTCCATTCCATTTATTCACACTATTAATTGCACAAGAATGCTAATATTTTCAGTTTTTCATATATCATGTAAGTATTACCATAGTTTTTCATTTGGGTCCAAAATCTTCTGTTTGTGTCAAGCTGATTCTTTTGTTTGGAGCATTTCCTGCCATATGGCTCAGGTGCTGCTGAAAAGAAAGGTAGCAAAAATGGTAATGGTTGCTCTTATGACAAAAAAAGCTTTTTGTAAATGCTCTATCTTTTTTTAACCTGGAAATTTTATAAGATGTACTCTTCACATTAAGAATGTTGAACAAGAAACATTTCTTCAAAGGAAACTCAAATTTTACCGAAAAACTACTTTTACTATTATCAATATTTTGAGTAATATGAGTTTCTTCTCAAGAAACATTTCTTGTTCAATTCCTTCAGTCCCAGCAGGGAATGAAGTAATGACTTTAAGAAGGCAAAGGTTAACTATTCTGATGTTTATTAAATATTCCAAAAGAACAACTCACATAAAAGATGCTGTAAATAGTGGGGAAGAGTATACTCATGCACATGAGCACATAGTTGTATTCATCCCTCTTTCTTGGGCAGAGAAATTAATTCCTTCTATAAAGGCAGCTAAATTACTGTTCATGAATATTCTGTCTGATATATTGTAAAGCTTTAAAAATCTTTACATTTCTGTCTGTGGATACTGCTACAATCTATTTGTGAAAATTATGCTGGATCAAATTTACTGTTGCCCATATTTAGGCATAAATAACTTGATATTCACTTGCAGGCACAAAATTGGAAGCAGCACAATACAGACAGACATATTTCAGGCATTTCAAGAATTCTGTGCAAGCAGGAACTCACCTGTAGATCCACTGAACTTTGGTTCTCGGGTGAAGGTGACAGAACAGCAGAATACAGATACTGATCTTCGAGGTTCTGAAGTATTGAAGTCTTTTTTTTTTCCAGTTTCTCTCACATGAAGAACACTAGAAGCAGATTCACCATCCTTATTGTGACCCCTTCGTTGCCAACTTTGTTTAACTTTGTGATCTGAAGTATGAATTCCTAAAAGTGAAAAAACAAAGAGAAGTGTTGTGCTATTACTCAAAATGTGAACAGACTGCAGGAGACTGGAGGCTGGAAGACAAGATTTAAAAAATGTATTTTGTGGATAGCCCAATCCAAATAGGGATTGTCCACATTTGACACTAAAACCAGAATTAACTAGGTGGTGCTAAATCATCTAACGATTTAGTAAACAGAAATGAATAAGCCAACCGTTTGCTCAAAATACCTTTGTCTGTTACTGTATTAAATGAATTTCTTGGCTCCTCAGAAAGCCTTTCCTTTTCCTTTTCCTTTTCCTTTTCCTTTTCCTTTTCCTTTTCCTTTTCCTTTTCCTTTTCCTTTTCCTTTTCCTTTTCCTTTTCCTTTTCCTTTTCCTTTTCCTTTTCTTCTTCATAGTGATGGTCCTTTGCCAGCTCAGTGTGGTTTGTTTCTGAGGGATTAAAATAACACATACTTATTTCTTTAAAAAACATGGAAGTTGATCTTATCCAAAAATGCGGTGGTGTTTTGAAAACCTAACCTCCCACTTGAAAAGCAGGTTTTCTCAGGTGGAACATGGTTTCACATGTTCATTATTCTAAAAGTATCATTCCTCAAAAGGAGAGCAGAAGTAGCTGTATTTCCTCTAGCAGAGGAAATCTTGAAAACAAACTCAAAAATTGACTCCAAACACCCAAGACCAAATACATCCTTTCTGTACACTGCACAGGTGGTATGTGGACCTCTGGAACAGCTAGGGTTGAGCCCATGGAGATCAATGCACACCAACGGACACCGTTGGGCTGAACTATGAACTCCTACTTCTGTCGGTGGCAGCTAGATACATCCTCGACATGGGCAGTGTGTGAATAGAACAAAATGCTACAAGTAATGAGGCTAAAATTGTAACAGCATTGGTTGCACAGGTAAGCCCACTTCAAACTACAAGCAGAACCTCACAAGGCAAAGTTGCTGTACAAAGTCGGCACTGCGCTCTTCATGTGGCCCCTGCTCCTCTGCAGGAAGACGTGGTTTTGCCTGTTCTTCCTTTTCTCCTGATAATGTAAATGAGCCCTTTGGCTTCCTCTCAGTTCAGGCCAGAATGCAGCAGAAATTCTCTACTTCTGCTTCAGTTTGTGAGGTAGTTTCAAGCCAAAAACTATCATTTTCTTCTTTTTACTCCAAAACTGCAAAGTAAATGTGTTCCTGTAAAATGATGCTTATTTCTCATCCCTTGCCCATGAGATATGCTTTGTCTCTGTCTCACTTGTATCAGTTCAGCTATGTGTTTTCCTGCAAGCTGAGCAACTAAAATGACATGGCATAAAAAATAACTTAAATTTATAAAAGTATTACTTTAATCTTCAGGCACTTCTGTGATACAGTTTTCAGCATAGGTCCACACATAGTTTTAACAGCTGAACTGGCACTGCTGACATGGTGACAAAAAGCATTGCAGAAATACCACTGAATGGTTGAATATAATCCTTTCTATAGTAGCTTTACCTCTGACATCAACATACCTACAGGCACGTTTTTGTTACAACTCCACAGAACCATTTCTTTTCCAAAATTAAGCAGGAAAAAGTCAATTGGAATCAGCATAGAAAATTTTTAAATTTTTAGTATAATCCTTAAACAAGCAGAATCATAAACAGTGGTTTTGATTGTTATATTTCATGTTGCAGCATGAGAAAGAGTCTCTAGAACATAAAGAACAAAGAATAACTCAAACATAAAATGGAGAAGTTGAATGCATGCATATTTAGTTATTTACCACATGATGTTCAGCAATGAGAAGATGATGCAAAAGCATGTTACCTCCGTTTTCAAAGGACTGGCAATCTGTTGTGGGAATACTCTCTGTTGGCACTGTCTTTCCTGAGCTCTCTCCTTCTCTTTTTGTATTATTAAATGTTTCAGGGATTGTATCACCGTCACCTGGAAAGGCAACGGAAAGAATGTTTTAGCTGCTGGTGTGTAAGCACAGGGAATGGCACTGCCACTCTCCTCCTAGTGCAATTTCCTTTCACCTCTCCTTTTATATTCTTCTTTCTCTTTTTTTTAGTTATTTGGATCCTGTCTAGTGGAACTGATGGCTAATTCTCATGCTCTCTAAGAAAATACCGTAAGACACAGGTTCCAGAAGATTAGGGCTCCAAAGTAAAGAACCAGCTACATATTAACCGGCTCATTCTGCAGCCTCTCACTTTTCATGAAGGGTATTTATGACTCCTATCTAATCGAATTTATGGTATTTGCAAGATGCATGTCATCGTAGTACCTAGAGCCTCAGAGAACTCAGCTGAAGAAAAGCTTTGGGGGAACACATCTATCTTTTCTCTGAATGTACCAAATTATAAAGACAGATGTGTCTTAAAAGCTATATTCATATATTTGTTAATGATCTCCTTGACTGTAGTCTAAATATATCTAAATATTTGCAAGGAAATAGCTTACCAAAGCTATGTTAATAGCAAATATTTTAAATGTAGAAATGAGAAGAAAATAGTTTTGTCCAATTCTGTTGCACAACTAAAGCTGGCAAAAGCAGTTGGTCAAAAAGCAAGACTTCATGTGTCTGTATGATTCTAAAAGAAGACAATTTTGCCATTCCCATTTTTTATTAGCAGATCATCCTATGCAAATATGTTTTACAGTATTATCAAGATCTTATCCCTGAAATTTATACTAGTGTTAAAATAATAATATTCTTTTTTATTAAAAGTAGCAGGTCATCTTTTTGTACAGCAATTCTTAACGGCTGATCTACTGATTTCTCTGGTGTCTTGTTATTGTAAGAACACAAGTCTCTCTCCTAAAACGGAATTACATTTTTGTAAAAAAACTAAGACAGATTTTTTTCAGTCATGCCACTTGGTCAAGAATGAAGGAGGAACCAAGTAAGGGAGATAAATATTAATTTGTATTCCTTTGATCTTATATTATGTTGGATAAAACCCAACATTCAAAACTATATGGATCTCTCTTGTTCGTATCTTTTATAAGACTCTTAAAGGGGGTATTTACTTAATCTAAATTTAGTCACAGAAAAGTTTGATGTGTTGCTACATTTCTTCATCTGGACACCCAGAACAGCTAGCAGAAAGTGAGGAGCACCTCTGGGAAAGTGACTCATCCCACTTTTCTTTGGCACTATCTTATGGTGCAATAAATAGCCCCATAAGAGTGCCTGTCTCCATTTACAACAGAGAGCCTAGATGAGAAATTTAAACTACATTCCTAACCTTAGGATGGTGAAAATTAGACTACATAAATCTTGATTGTGAAGAAAAAGTACATGGAAGACCTATGCTGTGTATCTCAGGAAAGTACACATGGGGTTAATAGCCCATTTATCCCTTTTCCATCTAAAAACAGTACAGGTAGTCACCTTGTGTGTGACATTATATATATATATATATATATATGGAAAAAATAAGGATGCATTTTTATGCTCTTTGTAATATGCTATCCTTTATTGCCACTAAATTAAAAAAGCGGGGAGGAGGGGCAAACTATGTCATAGTTTCTCCCTATAACAGTAATTTAAAAGTGCTAAACATTGTCCAAGAACAGGAAAATACTTGCCTTTCTCTAAGTCTGGCTTGGTAGCTTCCAAGAGCAACAGCTCATTTTCCCAAGGTGAAGTTTCTGTTGACTGGTGCTCATGAGGGTACTGAACCCTGTAATACTCTCCTAAACACACCCCAAGAGGGAAAAAAAAAAAATACAAAGTTTACTA